TTAGCTATATGGATTACAATACCAATCAAACGAGTGATTGAAAATAGTTTTAAAATCTATCCAGCTAGTATCACTTTACTTGTTTATATACTTTTTATTGCAGCATTTATTTTGTTTTGGATACTACTTGTAGCAATTCTACGAATAACCAACGATCCATACTTTCTGTTAAAATTATTTCTCTCCCTATTTATAGAAATATGTTTCGTACAAGTTTTTGCTTTTGAAAACAATTAATACTTACTGCTTGTGTTCCAGTTTGTTTAACTACATCCAAGATGGCATCCATATTTAGATAACTCTTACTGGTAGGGGCTGGACCAATGCAATAAGCTTCATCTGCCATCTTTGCATGAACCTATTCATAATCAAAGATAATATACTTAACATTAATTATTTTCTATATGTATATACTAGATAATAAGGAAACATCATATCAAGATCAACAAGACTGAATAAATTTTAACTACATTAACAAATTATTAGATTTTATTCTAGTTTAGTGAATTAGTAATTCTCCATTCAAATAAAACAAAAATGTTGGTTTAAAAAAATTTCTATATTATACAAAAAAAAAGTTTGTATTTTATATAAAAATAAACTTAATCAAAGGCTAAAAATGTGCATTTACATTTGAGTTTCAATAAAACACACTTATGGAATGAAAATAACAAAAGATATTTATCTATTCAACTATTTCCATGTTAATTGAGTATTTCTAATCCCAATTGAACTCACAGCCATGGAGTCAACATCACTATGCACAGCTACAGTTTTTATTCCCATTTCTTTGCAGGTTCGTATAACACGGCAGGCTATTTCTCCTCTATTGGCAATCAATATCTTCTCAAATTTCTGAAAATTATTTCACATAAACATATTTGAAACGTTTTTCAAATAACCATAAAACTAAAAAGACTAACTATACAAAGATGGTTAACTGCAGAGTTTATTTGTTCAATGCTAATTTTGTGAATTAAGAATGGAGGCTACAAAATTTGTAACAAACAAACAAAAAGTTAAAAAAAACACCTTTTCTGTACTAAAAATGATACATTATTATATTTTGTTCTTAAAATGTTAAAATTCAAACACTCATTTAGACTAACCAAGCACACTTTAATTCAGACATCCATGTTATTCAACATTTCTCATAAGTAAAACTCCCTACACTTACAGAAAGTATGAAATATATCAAATAATTATAATTCTGATTTAGTTGTACCATGTGTAGTTTTAATGTTTTGGTGGTTCACCACTGTAGACATAAATGTCATACAAAAACAAATACTACAAAAAAAAATAAATTATAAAGTAAAGATCTTTCATTATTTTTGTGATTTTATGTAGGATAACGAAAAAAACTTACTATCTAAGCTTGAAGCTCACAAAAAAGCAACCACTGAAGAAATGACAAAAAAAAAAAAAAGCAGTTTTCTTCTTTGGGCTTACTAATCATAACAATAAAAGTAACTTTGTACAATTAACTTGTTATCACTTGAAAAATGTGGCAAGTCACTGTTTTCAAGTTATCAATTTCACTTGAACTGCTTTCTGTTATTTAAAAAAAATCAGTAACTGTAGTATTCATAATTTTCCTAATATCTCTTGTCCATATAATGATTAATCATTAATTCTCTTTCCAACTGGGGTTAGTAGATCATATTGGTGGTCTAACCCCCTCCCCCACACATACAAATCAGTGTGTACATATACAACATTAAATAATGCACATCTCCTAAAACCATACCTGCTTGTACAACATTAAAAAATGAAGAATGATATATTACAACACTTTCCTACAAGGAGACATTTATTCAGCTGTTTTTTGTGTAGTTAGTGGTTTTATAAATATCTAAGAAATACTGTGATCTTGTTTTTTTCTAGTTGATCTGTAATATTTTTTCCTTTTATTAATAATCCAAAATAATAGAGAAGTCTTGGACTACATCAACTCACCTATGAAAACTTTAGTTGCAAGGTCTATCTATCAGTTCAACATTGATAGTGTCACTGATAGCTGCGTTTCTAACTCTTGGCCATGTGATTTATTTTTATTCTTGCTTGAACTGTTTTTGAAATTACTTGCAATGAATGCAGCATTATGTTACCTAATTAATACACTGTGAAGATGTTGAAAAAATAAGTATATACTATGTTAATGTTTGCAGTGGGAGTTAGAGGTCTAGCCTTATGAAATAAAGTTGTGGTTACACTTTACAACATACATATAACACCACTTGACAATGAGTATTTAATTTATCTGTCACACTCACTAAAGGTCAATTTTATGTCGTAGGTTTGCACTTTACATCACCACTACTTTTCACAGAGAAACTTTTATCAGATTTTGAGATTTTTACCCATCAACTACATCACAATTCCCAATTTATAAAAGACAAAAAATCTTCAAATCAGTATCCCACTTTTTAAAAAGTTTAACCTTGAAAGTAAATTTACAAGTAGTTTATAAGAATCAGCTCTTACATATATTAATGGTAAGGGGTATGTCCATAACTGTCATCAATTTCACAAGCATAGAAGTTGTAACTGGGGAAAAGGGGGTCAAGTCTATCTGTGTACATTTTAGGAGGAAAAAAGTCATTATTGAGACTTAATCTGTTCTAGTGAATCTTAGGTTTTATAAAAAGCAGGTAACTATATATTTCACTAGCAAAACCAGGACACAAACTGGCAGAAGGGAGACCAAACCACTTTAATAATGACACACTGAATGACAGAATTTTATATTAAATATGAGTCTCCCTTCTTCAAATTTTGCTGCTTACACTTGGAACTGTATACAAGAGATCTATTGTAGTACGTATTGTTATCATCATGTTATTTTTCTTGAAGGTCTTGATACTGTTGTTCTAAGTAAAATGATATGTTGAAATTGTAATGTTTTTCCTATGAAATAATTGTGTATTACTTGTGTCAGTAGTATAAAAAAGTTTAAATACATTTATAACCATTATAAATCCATGTGTTGTAGATTTTACTTTTTATTTAGTCAAATTCCAAAAACTATTCACTTGTACACTTTTGGGAGGGGAAGGGAATGTCTAAAAAAATTGTATGTTTTGTACACTTGTGAAAATGATCACAAATATGGTGACCCCTAACCATAATTTCCTACAAGTCAGAAAACTATCCTCCTAATGACTAACTGAAACAAGGTTTGAAAGAATATCAGAATAATAACCATAATTATTAAACCAGCTGATAAATGCTCTTCAATTCTTTTATAGATGAGTTAGGTAGCATATGCATGGTTAATAACAAAGAAGAAAAAAAAAGGTGAAATGGACACCAACTGTCTATATTAGAATCATATACATAGAGAAAGTCTTAGAAGACTACTAAAGGAGCTAAGGTAGAGAGGACGATGTTTTACGAGACTTTCGTCTCATGTCAGCTGGCACTGGTTTGCACAGGGGATTATTTGGTACCCTGTAGAAGCAAAGTAAGTGTGATTGCCTGGTGGAACAAATGATAAGTTGGCCAATGGTAGCCATCAATTGCTGATTTCGATACCCAAGTCTAAGTTTAGTGACAATTTCATCATGTTGATGCAGAAAGATTCTTTGATTTTTCTTGCTTTCCAGAATTTATTTAAATGAATGCATCTGTAATTGTCTCAAGCCCTTTTATGTTCAATAAACATTACATGTTCTCTTAAGACAAATTTGGTATTTTCATAAGCCTTGCATAGTCTTTGATCAATTCTTTCCAAACTAAACCTGGGCTCAAACCCAAATCTACTTTTTCTTCTATTGATATAAATATTCTACTTTATATGTAGAACCATCTACAAGTATCAAACTTGTGTAACTACTTTCTCTTATCCTTCTTTGTATATTTTTCACTTTACCCAGAGGAAGGCTTCTCTGAATGTTAGGACAATTTTTTTATCCACTTTTGTTTTGGTTGCTTTAAATGTTTTAGTTTTGATTTCAGTTTTTGATATTACCCTTAATTATGTGCTTATAATGCCTCTTACCATGACTTTTGAAGGTCTTTTTTTCATTATTTATTTGTCTGGAGATACTTATAATCTGGTTTAATCCTCTTCTGTATTGTTTCCTATTATAGTACACTCTAATTTTCGGATTTAGCTTTTACTTAGGTATGGGGTTCTTATACTTTCCTTGACTAATGTATATTAGCATTTATTGCCTTACTTAAATAAGTAAACCAGACAAACTGATTAAAGTTATACAACTATTACAGTTAAATTTTACTGCAATCTTAAACTGTTCTACTAATTTACAAACTCAGTTTCAAAACAGAAATGTCAATTGAAAAAACTTATGTTTAACATTTACATAAAATACTTTACCTACATTATTAGCATATTGAAACCCTGTTAAATATCAACACATTAACTTACATCTTCCAATTACTCACCTCTTCATTTGGGTTTATTGGGTCTGCAGTATATATGGTGAATAAGCCATTAGTCGTACACAGTGTTTGTCGAGATAGAAATTCCACTCGCTGAAAGATCAAACCATTTTGATTAAATGTTATATTTAATTGCAATATTTTTTCTATCATATTCCTTTTAGTTCATTAAAAAAAGGGTTAAAACAAAGCATTTATGAACAGCATTCAGATTTGAATCTTATTACTTACAAGTAAAAGCCTAGGAAACTTATAAAGACAAAATGGCATTTTTCACATCAATACCAAAAATAGTACCAATTAAAAAATACATCTGCTTCCTAACTATTTATATACTTAAATATTTTATTGCATTCATTAGCAATTATTTCTTACTAGGCTATTAACTTAAATAGAGGAAAAGCATAGACTTAAGTAGTTTCCTCTCCTAATACACACAATATCATGTAAATAATTTCCAAATTAAGAGCTTTTCCAAACACCCTACTTATTATTCTGTTCAACTATAGCTCATTGAAAATATATAACCTCCTAACCATAAAAATATTTTACAAATCTCTTCAAAAGCTTTTTAACCAACTTAATTACTCCTATGATCTGAAATTCAAATTTCCATTAGTCTCTACCTCTACTGTAAAATAAGGATCTTCAAAGATTAAAGTATCAAGCTTCTTCACAAGATTCTGAACTAGTCCTGGCTACCCTAGGGTTGTACATGTAAACCTTTTAGAACACTTAACCTGTGACCCCAAAACTACAAAACCTTTATTTTTTTCCCCATTCCCATACTTTCCAAAAGCTAGAGTTTTTAACTAGAACTAACATGCAAGCCAAATGTAGAAAACATAATTCACTAGCTTACAGCAAATGAAGCCATACGACATATCAGGAACACAGTTTTTCAACAAACAAAACAGCAAAATATATGTAGCCTTTCCAAGCTACACTTACTTAATAAACTTTGTAAAGAATCAAAGGTAGAAGCACACCACTCAATTGAGGTAATTAGCAGTTAGTCTGAAGTATTTTAAACTTTTGTAAAAAAAAGGGATATGGATATGAACAACTACATTTAATATTTTTTTATGTTTTTATGGGTCCAATTGTTTTCAGTCACCCGTTTTTATTATAAAAAGAGTACAAATAAAACAACGGATAATCCACAACTCATGAAACTATAGAACTGTCTTAGCTGAAGATAACTCTACCATTTATTATGATGAGGTATCAACACTATCAATCCCATCAACACCTCAATCAGATCCCCTCAATCTTTTCTCTTTTCAAGAGAAAACTTAAAAGACCTTAACCTATTATTGTATAACAGCTTTTCCATCACAGGTATCATCCTATTAGACCTCCTCTGAACTTTTTCCAATAAATCATTGTCCCTTCTAAGGAGCCCATAAATGAGCATAATGCTACAAATGTGGCCTAAATAGTTGCCTGTGCAAAGAAATTATAACCCCTTTAGATATTCAGTAGGGCTGCCCCCTAATAGTCGACCAAACCGTTAGTCCATGAGAAGAGTAGTAGTCAACCAAGTTTTCATTGGTCGATTAGTTGAAGAAAAATACAAAAAAAACCTCAAACTCCATTCGGGAGCTGCGCCTTGTCGTTAAAGAGTTATTAGACTATGTCAGGCAAACAATCATCCAAAGTGTGGGATCATTTCGAGCGTGTAAAGGATGACCCCAAGAAGGTGACATGCAAAATCTGCATGCAAAGATTCGCCTATCATTCGTCGACCTCAAACATGACTTATCATCTGAAACATGAAAGTAGCCTAATGTTATTATTCCATTATGCTAAATAATTAATGGCCTAATTGTGTGGCGGCCTGGGAGAACCCGTCGGATATCGCTGCCACTCAGATATTTCAATCCCTATACTTTACCATGGTGTATACAGTTTTTAAGAAAACAAATGGGATATTGTCCATTTTTAAGCATTTGTGTACATCAGATAGTTACGAAAGTGAGCTGGCCAGCTGCTTGCTAACGAAACTTAACATTCTGGCATCCAGCCAGCCAGGCCAGGAGCTGGCTTGCTAGAGTTGCGATGGCTACAACACTGATAAAATTACATTAATCGCACTCAGTACCAAAATAGTTAGCTAGCAAGCAGACCAGTAGTAGAAGTCTGTTACTTACAATCACCAAAGCTGGTGTGTATTCGCATTTTGTGATCCACTTTGTTAATCCACAACACAAAGCAAAGATGTTTGATTACTTTGGCTATTCCTTGGCATTCAACGTCACTGCTCAACTTATCAGCAGGCCAAAATCACATGAAAAGTGAGCTATTAAGACATTATGTAGTGCTCCCTTTCCATGCCTTTGTTTCAGATTTGTTGGATTTTGATAGCTTTGGATATGCAGTTTAGAAACTGTTATGGAGTGCGAGCTATACTGTGGTCCTAATTTAACTTTACATTTCAGTTTATTCCAATTTCTTCCTTTCTTTCACCCACTTGCCATCACATCAGATCATAAGCATAAAAGCAGGAAACCGTTAACAGATTTTACGTCGTTAACCTATTTTTAAAAGTTTTAATGGATAAATCAAAAAGTGTCATTTGGACAGAAACTATTGACACTTATAAAACGAATAGCTCCGGTCATGCTAGCTGGTTTTCTCCTACTTCCTTGCCCACTCACCATGAATCCATAATAAAGACAGTTGTCAAAGAGAGAGAGAGAGAGATGGTAGCCAGGATAGCAAGTGGTTCATTATTTAAATGAGTTATCATTGACTAATATGGATATGGTTCCAAGCAGCTCTGAATTGAGAGAGTTAATCCTTGATTATTTCACCAGTACTCCGTGAATTTGCATTAATGTTTCTTGGCGTTTTCTTTTTCTCTAGCACTTCTCAATTGAATTCGTTTAACTTTTAAAATCAACTTGAATAATTCTTATTCAGTTAGGTGATTAATATGTCTAATTGTTATGTATTTAACTCAAAGGATACTTTAAAGGTGCTGTTCCACTTTATTAATACAATGGCAATCAGTTCTAAAAGAACCAAGCTTAGTGTTGTTTTCCTCTTATACATCTAAATGGAATTAGAATAGAATGAAATAGACTGTTTAATGCCATTTTTCTCACTTTCTACCTTTAGACAAAAGAAGGCTTTAAAATCTTATATCTTTGGCTCTGATTGAGATATCTCAGTAATTCAAAAAAATGTGAATAGGGAATATTCTCAATTTTGTAGAACTATGAACAACTAAAGAAGTTGAAATTTCACCATGTGAAAGGTTTTCCAAGACCGCCACACAATTAACATTAACGAATTGCAAAGTTAAGGCTATATGCAGCTAAATAAATATGTTATCATATGCACTATTAGGCTTATCCAAGTGTTCATGGGGACTGGGGAAGCTAAATCACCTCGCTTACTGCATGTTTAACTTCATGTGCATTTCTCTCTATAGGCACATCCACTACACTGTGAAGATGACTCCCTAGCCTCAATTTCATTTTTGCAGCTGACATTGACTCAGAAAACACTAGTTATGAGACCCCTCTTTCCGAGAACAGGAAGAGAGATATTACGGACAGAATAGCAGATTTTTTTGCACTTGACATGAGACTAGTCAACATCGTTAGCGGTGAAGGTTTCAAGCAAATGGTCAAATTCCTCGAGCCAGGGTACAATGTTCCCCAGTGTGACACCGTAATGCACAGCATAACAAGCAAGTACAACACAACTAAAGAATTAGTTTTGAAGAAAATTAAAAGTTGTACAGCAGTCAGCTTCACAACAGACATATGAACCTCTAACCAGATAGAGGGTAACATGACAGTTACTGCACACTTTATTTCTGAAGATTGGTGACTACATTCATTCGTGTTGGAAACAAAAGTGTTGGAGGTGAGCCACACAGCTGCCAACATAGCAATGTGACTCGGTGGCTCTGAAACAAGATCCCATCGAACCATTGCTGCTGGCAGATGCTTTGTGGGGCATTTCAAGAAAAGTGGCAAGGCTACAGCAGTTCTTACTGAAAGACAAAAGCAACAGAAAGTGGCTAAACACAAACTCATCTAAGATGTCTTGACACGATGGAACTCTATGTACTTCATGCTGAAGCTCCTTCTGGAACACAGGTGGCCGGTTACAGCTGTGCTTTCTGACCACGGTACCACCCAACGGTTTGACAGAGATCTGGATATCACAACTGCCCATTGCAGGACAGCAAAAAACATTGTCTCGATGCTGAAACTTGTGATCACTCTCACAGAGCTGCTCTTGCAGGATGTAAATGCATCTCTGTCTGTCATGCTAATAAATATGGAGATGCCACTAGTTGCTGCGCAATGATGACAGCAAGACCACGAAAGCACTGAAGAGAAAACTAACCGAAGAACTTGACAAGAGATGGGAGCTCTCAGGGAGTTTCGAGACCAGCATATATATCCAAGCTGCTGTCCTAGGCCCACGTTTGTCATTCCTCGATGCAGAGAAACAGAATGAGGCATACTTGACAGAGTCAGATCTGGCTGAGAGTTTATCTCCAGCAGAAGCTGCTCAGAGAGAGGATTGTGACAGCAGTACAGAGGAAAGTGAGCGTGCACCAAAGAAGAAAAGGGAAAAGCAGCAGGAGATATCCATGCTGATGGCTACTGATGAAGAGCAGCAGACAGAAGGAGAGAACAATGAAAACGAAATTAAGATATACTTGGAGGACCGAACAAAGGTTTATTCGGGGCCACTGACATGGTGGGAATAAAATGAGGAATGCTATTCTAAGCTTGCCAGAGCAGCTAAGCACGTGCACTCCATCCCTTCCATGTCCACGGCATCGGAGTGCATCTTCTCGAAGGCCGGCTTCATTGTGAGCAAAACACGGAGCTCACTTCTACCCAACAACGGGGACAAACTCGTGTTCCTTTCTCATAATATGAGAAGACTGAGATAGGAGGAAAAAAAACAGTGACAGTGAGTCAGGTAGTATAATATAATAAACACACCTTTGTTCAGTTTGTTGTTGCTATAGGCTAATTGATAATTCGTTTGGCCTGTTGTGAAAAAAAAAAGTGTTTTTTTTGTTCCATTTTGGTTTGCATTCTGACCTCAGAAAAAAA